AATGAAGATCTCTTATAATATGCTAAGTGATTTGTCATTTAGACAAATTAAGACAAAGAATCTCTTCATGAGGATTTAACAAAATAAATTTTACCTTTTTTTAGATTTCATTTTGAAGTTTTGCATAGCAATAAAATACTAATTGTTAAGTACCCAAAATTGTATTCCCCTTTTATTCTAGAAGTGCTTTCCTGTGAATAATTATAGTCAGGTTAAAATACTCCAAGACTGGGTGTTGGAAAGAAGGCTCAGAGGTTAAGAGCACTGGCTACTCTTGCAGAGGCCTAGGTTTGGTTCCCTGCAAATAGCAGCTAACTCCAGCTCCAGGGGATCCAATGCCCTCTTCTGGCTGCCGTGGCCATTGTATGACACAAGTGCACTTACATACATGCAGGCTTAATACTCATATAAAATAAATGTAAAAATATATATACAAATTTAAAATATTTTTCAAAGTACTGCAAGATGGCCACTGAAATTCCAAGTTGTCCTTGATGAAATAATGCCTTTTAGAAAGATAAATGCAAAAAATGACCAAACAGAAGCTAAAGTTATGCCAACAGGTACCACAAGTTCATTATTTGATGAATCCGTGAATTTACTAGCTAAACACAAAAGTTTAGCTCCCAACATTGGACCCTACAAATTAACAAACTATTAAGTAAAGAAGAGATCAAGGCTATCTCCTAAAGTATAATAAATAGTTTTACAAACTAATAAAGGTCTTATAGATATATAATGTACCCAGGTGATAGGATGCCTCTTAGTATCAAATGAATAGCATCTCTTCACTAAGGAAAACAAAAATTAGTACAAATCTGATCAAGTAACCAAAATGTCCTAAGAACCTTATTCTTAGGACAAGCAAAACCAACTTTGGGAGCTTACCAAAAATATTACAACAGAAAATAAATGCTAGATTTTTCATCTTAGAGAACTCTCGGGCTAGAGAGATGGCTCAGTGGTTAAGAACACTGACTGTTCTTGCAGAAGACCCAGGTTTGAATCCCAGCACCCACATGGCAGCTAACAACTGTCCGTAACTCCAGTTCCAGGGGATCCGACAGCTTCTCCTGTCCTCCGCTGGCATTGCACAACACGGGTGCACTGACCTACATGCAGGCAACACATGCATGCACATAAAAAAATAAAAATAATAACTAAAAATTTTTTTAAAAAGAGAACTCTCCTGTGTTAGTTTTTTTTTCCTATTGCTGAGATAAAATACCATGACAAAAAGCAGCTTATGGGGAAAAGAGCTGATTTTAGCTTACTTTTCCAGTAGGATGGAGTCTGTAGTGGCAGGAAAGGCAACAGACGCAGGAAGCTGACTGATCGCCTTTCCGTCTGCACACAAGCAGCAGAGGGAAAGATCAGGAAGTGAGGCAAGGCTATAGACTCTCAAAGCCCACTCCCAATGACAGTTCTTCCAACAAGGTCACACCTCTTTAAAGGTCCCATAACATCGCCAAAAGTGCCACCAATTGAGGATCAAGTGTTCAAATGCATGAGGCTTTGGGGGGCATTTAACATTCAAACCACCACATCCCCGAAGCAAAGAGATTAAGAGAATTCAGTGAAGTGCAGTGTAACCACTGGATACAGGACTTCTTGCCTAAATCCATTTTTAAAATTTTTTGTTGCATTTGTGTGTGTGTGTGTGTGTGTGTGTGTGTGTGTGTGTGTACAGGCATTTGAGCCTGCAGTACATCTGTAGAGGGTCAAAGAACAACTTTTGAAAGTCGATTCTCTCCTTCTCACATGTGCATTCCAGGGATCAAATTCAGCTTGTCAGGCTTGGCAGCAAATACCTACCCACTGAGCCATCTTGCTTAACTCTTAATGGGAACTCTTAACTACTTAAATCCTGATACAGAGATGGCCAAGGAAACCTGTGGGTATATTAAGTTTCTGAGCAAAGGAGAATATCACCCTGACAGTGTAAGTGAGATTAAAACAAATTTTCCTTTATTCTTTGCTCTGGGGGCTCTATAACAAGAGATTTATAACAAAGCGGGAGGGGGAGTGTGTTGTGAACATGGCAGATACGCAAGGAAAAATGAGTAACTCTCAAAGAGGTGGTTAGAAGTGTGGCTTATATAGCATCTGCAGCAAAGTAAATTTTCAATGTAGTAATAAGACAAAGGAAAAGGACCTTGAGTCACTAGGGGTGGCAGTTTGTGAGAAAACAATGTATAGGAAGTGATCACAAATAAAGGCTACTCAGTAAAGTTCTGAGGTAGATTACTGTGGTGCCATCTCCAGAATGATAAGAATCTAAGATTTTGCCCTTCCTGATAGAAAGGAGAGGAGGAGCCATTTGTAAATTTATGTCTTTCTTTTAGGCAAATAAGCTTTTCTTTTTGTTTTTGGTTTTATTTGTGTATGTGATGGGAGCTGGATATTGAGACAAGCTCTCAAGTAGCAAACTTTTCTATAACATGATCTTCCTGTCTCTACCACTCTGGTACTGGGATTGCAGGTATGTGCTACCACATCTGGCCTCAAGGAGCCATACTGTATTATCGCTTTTGTATTTGGTTTTTCTCAATTGCCCTCAGATCAAAAATTGTCCTCATACCAAAGTGGTATGTTTTAGGGCAGCATATTCCTCTATCCTTCTCAAAAACTCAGTAGGGTCTCAAAAGGAGGAAGTCATAGATGTATACGTACAAGATTTTGAGGACTGGCATTGGCTATGGACTGGTTCTAGTGAGATGTTAGTAAGTACGGTCCAAGCAGAGCCTGGTAATAATTTATGAAGTAGGCGACTTGCTGGATTAATCCTTCTTACCTTTGTAGCCCATTTGGAGGTACAGTTAAACCAAGTTGACCATGGTCCTATCTCAGAGTATATAGATCTGAATATGTTTATATCAAAAACAATTTCACTAAAGACTTGAGTTACACATCATGGTTTAGTAAAACTTAACTATTGTACAAGCAACAGTACAGTATTGCAAGCTGATATTTCTGTTT